AAAGTCAAGACAGTCTCACAGAGCTGGCACAGATAGACTTTTTGTATATTCTTTATTTACAGTTATTATTCAATGCAGCAATAACCCTTACACCAAAATACATTCAATACACTTTATATTTAGTGAAATAATTTCAAATGTGGGAGCCAAAAGATTTGATCATGTATCCTCTTCCTATATTTTATTAAATCTTGATTCAATGTCCACCTCCAATTTGTATAATAGTGTAAATGTCCTTTTATATTAAATCTAAATTCAAATAGATTACCTCAATTCTTAATACTACAGTTATCGTGTTCATTTTGTCAAGTGTTATTAAAATCTACTTTCATTTTTCTGGCCACGGTACTGTTGCTCTCAGACAATTTTTGGTTATCTGCCTGAGTTCTGCTACTCTTAAAATTATAAAGAGGTACTTATCAGATTGCTGAATGTATGTGAAGTGTTTTACCCTGGGGTAATAACTCCAACCCCTAAGAGAGTGTGCATTGAAGTATAATATCCAATAATTTTGCGTATTTCCTATAACCTATAGTTATTCTGTATATGTAATCAAATGTATCTGTACCTCAAAAATGAAAGATTGGGCATTTAAATAACTGGACAGTAACAATATTCAATATGAATTAAAAGGTTTATACTGCTGATATTTAACTTTCCCTCTAACCCAACTTCTGACTTTTATATTCGTACAATATGATACATTTTCATAGCACAGTTTCAAATAGCATGCATGTTTATAATGATCATAACACATTATTATTGATTCCGTATAGAGGCATATCATTCTTTTGGAAAGATTGATAATGTTAAAAGTAAATAAACTTCAAAATTACACTTAAAGGAATAATTCACCCACAAAATGACAATTTGTATTAAAATGTCTCTCCCCATGTTACCTTGGATTCTAGAAATGTACTTTCTTGCAGGCCTCCATGGTGAACAAAGACTCCAAAACATTTAGAAATGTTTGGATCAATAGAAGTAAATGGGGGCCGGGTTTACATCAAAACTGTATCAAATATCCTATTTAATACAGATTTTTTGGAAAGTAGTGTAGTCGTTTCTTTTGTGACGGTAAAATCCATGTTTTGATAAAATGTTGCTCTTATTAAATGTAGCCCCATGTACTTATTCATCAAGACTTTAATTCTTCATTCACTGTGGATTCTTGAAAACATCACATTTTAATCTTCAAGACTTCAAGGTAACACAGGATGAGTAATAGATTTACAAAGGATCATTTTGTGGCTGAGGTATTTCTTTAATTGTAATGTAGCATCACAAAATCAACAGAATTTTACGAAGCCTAAATTGAGAACAGTGGGAAGAAGCAACAAGGGGGGAGGGGAGGTTACCCTGAGGCTATGAAAGAAAGACACATAACAGACAAGAAGTCCTGCTTCTTGTCTTCTTGCAGACAAGAAGCATTGAAAAAGCAAAACTCATGACCACTCGACCTGTGACTAAGAATAGCCCAGACTTGTATAGTGAGCTAAATAACGGAGGGGAATGTAATGCATTTAACTGTGGAGAATGTGACGGGGGTCATGAAACACAGCAGAATTCTGTTCTATCACAAAACATTAGGGAAGAGCACAAGGTTTGACGCACTTGCAGAATTCATGGAAAACCTTCTCATAATGACAATCAGGCTGTATGCCAACAGAGGTGGAAGGCAGCATGACAAAAAGAGCTGAAGCGCACTGATATACCATTCGGATATCACTCAGTAAGAAGAGGCCAGAGACTATAGGGAAACATATTTCTGATTCAGCTGCATCATGAACGCTGAGACACCTTCAAATGATCATAAGGTAGTGCAGTTCAATTTCAATATGAAGCGAGCAACATCTTTGGACCTCCAGGACACGAAGAGAATGTGAGTAAATGATGTGTGCGTTGTTTTTACGATACGCGGTACGGTACGGTGCGATAATACTTTATTGTCACATCAAGTCTGAAATGTTTCTTGCATCATAGCGACATTTGCAACAACAAGGACACATTTAAAGACAAGATGCAAGGAAACAGACATTTAACTTAAAGTTCACCTATTATGCAAAATCCACTTTTTCATGTCTTTTATCCATGCATATGTGTATTTTTAGGATTAATGGTTGCTAAAATAATTTTCCAGGTTAACCTTATTAAATCTTTTGACTCTTATTTGATGGTAACACAAATTAATTGCTGTTGGCAAGCCTTAATATGTTATGATGGTAGGTTGATTTCAAGAGTTTTTTCAAAATATAGTGGCCTCTGAGTATAGACCGCATTGTAGAATACAGAATAAGTTAATAGACGGTCTACCATAAAAAAAATTCTCAGACTTTTTTCTGTTATCCTCTCTTGTAGACATAACCCCGGGAAATCCAAAATCCAGAACTTCGTCCAGAGTCCATTAACATGGCGGAAATTCAACAGGTGTTGTTTTAATTTACTTTATAATAATATTGTGCTGACTAATGTTTTGACAAATCACAAAAACCTTCTTGTCTTCCTTCTGCAGACAAGAAACAAATTAAACGAGCCCACCGGGAGAATCTCTCGAGACCGTTCTTTCCCAGAAATGTAATTTTCATCCACTTTCAAGCAACACAAAACTAATATCACGCTTGGTTTCTGTTTTCTTTATAATGAAGTTTTGTTCCCTTGTGTAAAAAAGGCGGACAAAAAGTATTTCGGGACTTTCTGAAGTCAGAGTTCTGTGAGGAAAACCTGGACTTCTGGCTCGCCTGTCAAGAGTTCAAAACCTCTAAGCGTCCAGAGGAGCAAACATGCAGAGCAGCAAGAATTTATGAAGAGTTCATCAGGGATGAGTCTCCAAAACAGGTGAAAACAAACTCTATTAGGTGACTGAATATGCTCAAACCATGGCAGTAAGCATAGTATATGGGAATATCGGTTGGCTATACAGTATATTCAAATTTGCTTATAGATGTCCATCAATATATTGATGAATTGGTAAGTAATTGGTAATAATAGAAACCTTGAAACCACTGACAGAATAATTATTAGTCTTTGTTAACTTGGCAGTATATAGTCTACATCTACATTTTAAAGATCAGCCGTTATGAGATTTGTTAAGGTCTCAATTTTCTGCACTAAAGTTGACCAAGGTCCCGGCCCTTGTCGGATGAACAATGTGTGAATGAAAGTTCCAAAAATAGGCCAGGATCTACAAGACTTAGGTTATCTTTTCATACTGGAATAAAAAAATATGTTTCTGTTTCAAATACTTTAAAATTGTCAATTTAGTCTGTTAACTTTCAAAAAAGTACTTTTGTGTAGATTCCTCCAAGACTCCCCTTACGGTTAGGTCAGAATTAGGGTGTCCTGTCACCATCTAGTGCAGTGGTTCCCAACCTGGGGGGAGCGCCAAAGATCGCAGGGGGGGGCGCCAGGCCTCAGATGATTTGAGGCCAAATATCATATTTAGACTTTTTTTTTTTATTCTTTTTTTTTTTTTTACATATAATTGTAAAGCAATACATGATTGTCACTAAAAGCCTTGTCTCTACATTACAATAACATATTAAAAATAATTGATTAATTCATTATATAACAATTCAAGTTAGTAGCTATTAAAGGCGTAAAAAGACAGAAATGTATAATTCTTTCTTTAATAGAAATATTTATTCTGCCCGTAAAGTGTCCAAACCAGACTTTTCTGGATAAGCGCATTTTCGAGACTTTTAANAACAAAAGTCCCTACGTATGAAATGAAGCTGTTGGAAGAGAGTGTTTCCACCTATGTGTGGAGCTGCCAGCCATCGAGACTGGAGGACAAAGCATAAACACAGTGTACTACTGAGCATGTGCGCACACACACACACACACACACACACACACACACACACACACACACACACACACACACACACACACACACACACACACACACACACCTCGATATTAGCAGCATCTGCTTCCACAGGAGGTGGTACAATAGGTAAGAGGGGGACAGAGGTGGGGAGGTAGAGTCACCCCACCCCATCAACACACATGACAAGGTCGGCTTGCCGATTGGGTCCTAAGTGCTACGCCATTCATCACAGCCAGGGAGCTAATTAGGGGAGAGAGGAAGAGAGCAAGAGAGAGAGCTACTTCCTCTCTAGTCATCTTTATCACAAAACTCATCAGCCCTTTTCCTCTTGTAGCTGTCCTCTCTCCCCCATTCATCTTCCCTCCTTCCCTTCCTCCTTTTTTTTCTTGCCTGCTTCTCTCTGCTTCAGAATTTTGCCTACTTTTCTTCCCTTCCACCTTCCTCCTCTCCCTCTGACCCTCATTTCTGCCTTCTTTTCTTCCCGCTGTCATGGCTTCCTCCCCTATAGCTCCTTCCTCATTCCTCTCCTCTGCCAGTAGCAGCGCTGCCTCTGAATCTTCATTAGGGAGGGAAATGAAGCTGAAAACGAGGAGGCAGCCTGGATGGCCAAAACACACACACACACACACACACACACACACACACACACACACACACACACACACACACACACACACACACACACACACACACACACACCCGTGTGTGTGTGTGTGTGTGTGTGTGTGTGTGTGTGTGTGTGTGTGTGTGTGTGTGTGTGTGTGTGTGTGTGTGTGTGTGTGTGTGTGTGTTTTGGCCATCCANCTAAAAGAAAATGTATGCAATTTAATTATTTTAACCTGCTTTATTTGGGGGTGGACCTCACCTCCTCTAGGGGGGTCCGGGGGCATGCACCCCCGGGAAGATTTTTTTTTTAATGTTGAAGTGAAATGCCTCAATCTGGTGCACTTTGAGCAAAAAATGAATTTATGGATACAGCTCTCAACACACTGAAAGGGAGCTGTATACTTTTAAATAATCCAAACATCTTTAGAATATGATCAAAACCAATAACAAATCATTTAAACTTCTTTATTCTTATCTTATGTTACCTAGTTAGCATTCTTTCTTTTTATTTATGCATATTTTACTAATCACTCTCCTTTTAAACTTTTCTTTTTTTTTTACTGTCCTATAGCACACATTGGAATCTCGCTTCGGGATTCGGGACTCTGGATTTTTCCGGGTGGGCCGCTGCCTTTAGCGGGCCACTGGCTCTGACATAGGTGGGCCGTGGACTTTCACAGCGCCGCTGTATCTTCTTGTATAGTGTTACCATGGCAATAGCTGCTGCGGCGACAGCGGTGCTGATGGACGTCCCCGGGACGACGCTGCTCAGGGATGTGCTCACGTCTACGGCCACAACGAAGCGTTTAGCCACAGGCTCCACATTCTGGGGACAAGATCACAACAGCACGAGTGGTTAAGAGTAAGTGTATGCATTTGTTTAAGGGGTTGTTCTGTGAGAATATGTGAAAATAAAAAAGGACCTACCATAAAACTCTTGTAAAAGGCAGAGTCCATAGCTTTGAGGATGCTGCTGTCAGGTTCCCATTTGGTTTTACCCTGATGGCCTTGGTCTCTTTTGTAGTTTTCAGAAGACAAGAATATGTGGAAAGGGTGGATCTTTGCCTGGTGATTCCAAAACAGGCATCGTTATTTAAATAAATATAAAAAACATAACTTTGAATCAATTTTTATAAAAAAAACAAGGGTCCTACCTTCGTTAGTGCGGTCTGACTCTGGAATCTGTCACATAGAGCTTGGGTGTCAGAACTTCCTGGTTCGAGAACTTTGTTTGAAGTCATCTTACCCAAAATCTTTAGCACTGATTGGAGAGGCATATCCTTCAACAACGCCTTTCAGAAGAAAAAATACATATCCCCTTGAAAAATCTTTACAAAATGCCAATTGACCTGACAATGAAATTATGCTTTCAAACTATTTCTAATTGCTCGGAGTCAGAGCATCCCAATTTACAGCATGAACCCAACAGTCCTACTGCAGAGCTCCATGCTCAGGCCCACCTCTGGTGCTAGGACACATCTCCCATGACCCTTGGTGAAAAATCCTCCGGTTATCACATGTTTTGAGGTTGAACAAAACACGTTTATCGTGTGTCCTTTAAAAATAAATATAGTTTCTTATGCCAGTGTATTATATTGTGCAACTTATTGTTTTATTTGCTAATAATTAAGTAGCCTACTTAGCGTATATTTATTACATGATTGTATTACGTTCATTTTTAAATACATTTAACTAATAAAGTTGCATCTTTAAGCAACAAATAACTTACCTTTTGAGATAAACTGAGGTTTGCTGACAGATTACTTCTGGTAGTCCCAAAATCAAGGTTAAATCAGCGAGGAGACAGAGCCTTTGCTGTTGCAGCTCCAAAATTATGGAATGAATTGCCCCTCCAGGTTAGACTTGCTCCAACTCTGCATGTTTTTAATTCTCGTTTAAAAACTCATTTATTTTCTCTTGCATTTACAGACCCGATATGACACTTGTGGGTTTTTATCTTCCTAGTGTTTTGTATTGTTTTTACGTCATGTAGGAGAGTTATTCAGTCTGTGGCTTCTGATCTGGTTTCATTGTCTCCTGTTTTACATTTGTTTCATGTCCTGTCTGTTTTTTTTTATGTATGTATGCTATGTGTTGCAGCCAATTTGATGTATTTTAATATTTGTATATGAAGGTGCTGTGATACTACTGAATTGACCTGGGCATAGGCGGGGACTCAGCCAATTTCAGGGTACAGCCTACTATTTGGGGAGGACACAGGTGCACAGCATTAGGGATTGGGAATCACCAGAGGGAAGCCACACAGTTTTTCAACCGTGCGTGTTTTCGCTTATTTTGAGTTAATTTCGGTTTATTTCTTTATCACAGTTAGTTGTTTAGTTATCAGTTAAACACCCGGCTCTTGTTTTGCTGTCATCATCCTGCAACCCAAATAAACATCTTAAATGCACTCAAAGAGAAGACCTGATTTGCTGTCAACACCACGCGTTTGGAAAAGCTTCACACCATATCCCTCACTGGCAAATATTTGTTGTTCGGTTGCCTTTACATTTGTTGAAAAACTTGCTTCCAAAGACGGATGGACATAGGAGTAATCCAACAAAAACACCACAATAAGAGAGGAACAGCCGCCCCACCTGTAATTCAAATAGACTCTCCATCAAAGTCACGGGTAGGACTTCTTTGATGATGACTGAAAGGTTGCGGAGGCAACCAACACCACAACCACCAAACTATCCAAACAAACAACAAAAACACCACAAAAAACACCCAAACAAACACCAACAAAAACAAAACAAACAATGAGAAGCACACCTCACACGCCAATACAGGCCCCCCACAAAAAATACACGCCACAACC